GTGAGAACAAGATTGGCCTAAGCAAGAAACCGTCAAAACATTGGTTGCGCATAAAGATAGACCGAACCACTGTGTATTGGTGTCCCAGGAACACAGTAATTACGACAATGAGTACTACTATCCCATCATGATCCAGGTGTAGGTGCTTCATATGCTCGCAAGTGAGGGCTTCTCGGCTGGAGAAAAACAATCAAACAAGCAATTTAATCACTTATAATCCGTAACCACCACAGAGCTATATATATCCATGTCATAGATTAAATCACTTACCGGTAGATTTGTTCCCCATGATACCGGATTTCCATCTTCCCAATTATCCATGAGACAATAATAACAACCATTGTTAGAGAGTTCTCACCGATTCTTTATTGAAACACTCGTAGAAACGTACCTAGAAAGAGTCATAGGCGTATACGGATTCCAAGCTCTATCGTGCAAGCGTGTCCTCATTCCATCATGGATAGGTATAGCTGAAGTTTTGCATAAACTTATCAAAAAACTTAATATATAAAATAAAGAAAAACAATTGAATCTCAAAACTGCAAAATGATTAAGGTAATAAACCTCCAAAATCCCGCATCGGTGTCATATAAGGATGAAGTGGAGTGCGGGAAGGATGCATAGGAGTTTGGCTTCCCATCTTATACTGAGAGGGTGTGGCTTCATTATCAGTCATATTTGATATCGCATCCCGATCAACTGTCACAATTTTTGCCTCGTGTTCTATACGCACTGTCTTATCTTTGACTTCTACTAAATGTCCCCTATATCCCTTGAAAGGCCCTTGCGAACTTTCACATAAGTACCCACCAAAAGATCGTTCCCCCTTCCTCCTCTTCCACCCCAATGTTGTCTACATCCAGCTCCTGCTCCAGCTACTGTTTCACAAATACGTTCTGGTATTTAAGGTTTCAAACTAGATACATTTCTAAATGATACAAAGTATAGTCAACATCTCAAACTAGATCCACTTCTAAATTAGGTCATCCGACTACCTAGAGCTTTAGTTTGAGTCATATATATCAGAATCATTGCCCTTTAATATCAAGAATGAAGTGGACGACCAGTCAAGAATGAAGATATTAACTGAAAACCAAATGACGAGAATTTGTAGTGACAACAAAAATAGTATGAAGAAATCTGAACATACAGTTATATCCCATGTCCGCCCGTTGAAATCTTCTTGGAGATGGAGGTGTCTTAGAGTTGTCAGATCTTGAGAAGGAATCAACCTAGAGTAGAAAGGTTACCAAGAAAAGAAAGCTATTATTCGTCGAAATTACAAAAAAATAAGATAAAGCCAAACCTGCAAAAAGAGGCTTACAATTTTTGTGACACCATTAGTCACTTCTGCACTCTTGACGACATGATCAGCGAAGACACGAATCTACAATATATATAATCCTCGTTTGGTTTATTACCCTCGTCATAAATTAACGCAAAACCTAAACAGAATATTGCCTTACATGTTCTTTAGTCGTATCAGACAGAATGATAACCACATATTTATCAACTTAGTTAACCATGCTAGTTGCTCCTACTTAGGTGCTAGAAATAACCTTCACAAGATTTCCAGGTTCATAGTATTTGCAAAGCTCTCTCTCAGTTACAGCAACAGGATTTTGCGTGCAACATGAAACATTTTACAAGCATTGTATATTGTTTTTGAAAAGATGAATCATATGGTGGACACTTACAGGAAGACCTTTCATCTCTGATCTGATATGAACAGTATCTTCATCTACTTTCTCAACCCAACCCTTCAAGTTTTTTAGATCACCCTTGATAACGATAACCGCATCACAAATGGCCATTTATTCTATTTGCAGAACAAAAGTCGATCTCTCCATTTTCACTTGGTTTTTTGAATTTTTCAAGTTCATCCAAGGTTGGTGTAACATTCTGAGCAGTGATCGACTTCGTTGATACTTTTTTGTACAGGAAACCATCTTTGAAAAGCATACCATCAACATTTTCAAAGTAATCACCCGTCATCCGATCACGCCGGTGCTCAACACGTATGTGAAGTTCCCTAAAGTCACGTTACATATTGAAAAAAAATACAACCAAAAGCTTCTTCACAATATATTGCTTATAAAGAGCAGAGTTTAACTTCTCCAGAACAGTACCTTGCCGCATCAATGTTCATGAAACGTGGAGGTGGAACAAAAGCTTTTTTCTTGACAATCTCTCTCCCTTCTTGCAAATACCCAAGTAAAATGTGACCAAATATCTTATGGTTTAGAAGCAGGATGGTCATCTTAATAGGCTAACTTTAAACGTAACCAGTATGTATCACAAACACTATACCACCATTTGTTATTTTAAGCATGAAAAGATTCCATACCAGCTTATTGGCTAGAACCTGCAGATCAATTCTCGGGATTATCTTGACCGTGACCGTTCTACTCACATTATCAACATCAACCACCTGTAAGGAACTTACATTTCAGCAAGAAACAGAGGAGTTTTATCATCTAAAGCACGTGAAAAATGGATAGTACCCGAGCTAGATCACTTTTATACATCCCGCGTTTCATTCTAACCCAAGTATACCAGAAAATATCAATTGCTTTACTTTGAACAGTAAGAACACCCGTCATTTCTCTTATGGGCACAAGTAAAATCTTATGATTAGCATTAATGTTCCGCATGCCCTTGATAGCCTAAACCACGAAGAAAAGAGTCTTTACATATACATCAAAACTATAATCAGAACATCCAAATATGTTATGCATACTACCATCAAAATATCTCTTTCACTTGAGCTTCTATATTCGCTTCAACATATATATAGCTTTGAAGATTGTCAAGAGCAATAACAGATTTGATCTTGACATCTGGTCCTCTATCTATGAATGTTTGCATGAGACAAACAACAACCTCTCTTTCACGGCCTTTCGCGCAATTCACCTTCCACAATTTAGGGTCACGAACTGATGGCAAAAGAGCTTGTTGATCAAAGTCGTTAAGCTCCTTATCGTTATCG